TGTACACCCCACCAATCTGGATTAAAGAAAAATGCTCAGTGGAGGAGAAACGCTCAGTGAGAGAAAGTGAAGTCCACCTAGTCTTAGAACTAAACAGCCACTGAGAACCAGAGAATCAGGGGTTGGTTCCAAGCCTGAGCTCTGTGGAGGGAAGAGCTATCTGGGATCATGGGGCTTCCTGCAGTCTCTCTTGGGGCTCCCTCGATAACTCAGCCAAGATGCTTCACTGCCCAAATGTAAACTACAACTTTTAGAACTGCAAGGTCACTGTGGCTACTTATCCTAATCTCTAGAGCCAAGATCTGCTACACTTTTACATTTTTTTTTAATACTAGGAATCGAACTCAGAACCTTATGTTTGCCAGATAGGCACTGGTACCACTGAGCTATACCCCTGGGCCTAAGATCTGCTACATTTTCCAGCTCAATATCTTTCCCACAAAGACACACACTTTCTGGGAATGGCTTCAAGGAATCAACCAAATTCCCGGTATAAGGGAACCCAGCGTCGGTATCTTTTAGATACTGAATCGAAGGGCACAGACCTGAAAGGTCTGATCACTTCCTTTTTGCCAATGCACGGTCACCTTGGTAAATACAGCTGGCTCTGCGCAGATGATGATTCCAGGAGACTCAAACATCACCAAGGCCCTCTAGCTGGAGTGGGGACTCAGGGGTTGGTGGTCAATGGAAGTTCAGCTCTGTGTAAATCATGATGGGAACAGTGGGTCCCTGAATCCATGCTGTGGTGACTTCTCACCAGATCCAGGATGCACCACCGGCATCACTCAGCAGTAGGCAGACTCCTCCTGTTGGCTCCCTGACTTGGGAGCAAGGGCCATTATGGTGGGAAAGGCCAAGTAGAATCCCTTAGAGCTTAGGTACAAGCTATTTACCTTGGAAAACACTAAACAGACAGCAAGACTGCATGCTGGGAGAGACTGCAGAGATTAATACCACCCTCAACGACTTGAAAGATGCAGGGGTGGTAGTTCCCACCACACCCCATTCAACTCTTATTTGGCCTGTGCGGATGATAGGTGGATCTCGGCAATGGGTTACTATAAGCTTAACCAGGTGGGGACTCTGGTTGCAGCTGTTGTTTCATTGCTTGGGCAAGTTAAAACATCTGCAGCTATTAATCTGGAAAAAATTTTTATTTTTGTCCATACCTGTCAGCAGAGACCACAAGAAGTAGTTTCTTCCAGTTGGCCAAGCAGAAATGCACCTTTTCTGTCCTAGGGGCATGGCAACTCTCCAACTGTCATAATGTATCAGCTTTCTCTTCCACAAGATATCACAGCGGTCCATTATGTCGATGACCATAATGCTGATTGGACCCAATGAACAAGAAGTAGCAACTACCCTAGACTTATTGTTAAGGTCATTTGTGTGTCAGAGGGTGGAAAATAAATCTGACAGAAACTCAGGGCCCTGCTACCTCAGTGAAATTTCTAGAGGCCCAGTGGCACGGCACAGTATGTCTCGAGTGAATGCATCTGGGCCACTCCTGGAACTAAAAAAGAGCCACAGTGCCTGCTGGGCCTGTGTGAATTTTGGAGGCAACATATTCTTCATCTGAGCATGTTCGTCCAGCCAATTTACCCAATGGCCTGAAAAGCTGCCGTGTTTGAGTGAGGCTTAGAATGGGAGAAAACTCTGTAGTAGGTCCAGACTTCTGTACGAGCTGCTCTACCACTTGGCCCATAGTAGACTGAGTGGTGTCTAAAATGTCAGTGGAAGATAGGGATGCTGTTTGGAGCCTTTGGCAGGGCTTTATGGATAAATCAGAGGACAGTCCATTAGGATTTTGGAGTAATGCCTTGCCATTCTCTACAAATAATGCTTTCTGCAGACAGTAGCTCTTGGGGTGTTACTGGGCTTCAGTGGAGATGGACACTCAGCTGTGGGCCATCAAGCTACCTTGTGAATTGAGCTGCCCATCATGACTTGGGTGGTTGACCCACCAAGCCATAAACTGGGCATGCATGGCCATACTCACTCATCAAATAGAAGTTATATATATATGATCAGGCCTGAGCAGGACATGAAGGAAAAAATGAGTTGCATGGAGAAGTGGCCTGTGGTCCCCACTCTTATGGTACTTATGCCTCATGCGGTTTCCCACAATCAGTTAAGAGAAAAAAAAGTTAGACCTGGTTTACAGATAATTCTGTGCGACATGCAGATGCCACCCAAAAGTGGACTGTTGCAAGCAACAGTACAGCCCTTTCTGAGGCATCCCTGAAGGACAAAGTGAAGGGAAAACCTCCCAACGGACAGAGCCTTGGTCAGTGCATCTGGCTGTTCATTTTGCACAGAAGATGCGGCCAGATGTGCATTTGTATTCTGATTCATGGGCTTTCACTAATAATTAGGCTGCATGGGCAGGGACTTGGAAGGAGCATGATTAGGAAACTGATGAGAAGGAAATTGGGGGAACAGTGTGTGGATGCCTCTTTCTGAATGGGCAAAAATGGTAAAGTTATTTGTGTCCCATATCAATGCTCAGCAAGAAATGCCTTCAACAGAGAATTTTAATAATTAAATGGACAGAATGAGCCATTCTGTGGGTAGCAGTCAGCCTCTTTCCTCAGCCACCAGCGTCATCAGCCTGTGGGCTCATGGACAAAGTGGGTGTAATGGCAGGGATAGAGGCTATGCACGAGCTCAGCAACATGGACCTCCACTCACCAAGGCCAGCCTGGCTGTGGCCACTGCTACTGTCCAAGCTGCCAGGAGCAGAGATAATTCTGAGTCCCTGATATGACACCATTCCCCAGTGTGATCAGCCACCTACAAGGTGTGTGATTACACTGGATCACTTTCATCATGGAACGGCAATGTTTTCTTCCTATCGGAATAGATATTTTTTCTGGATATGGATTTGCCTTCCTCGCATGCAATGCTTCAGGTAAAACTACTGTCCACAGCATGGCTCCTTAATTCACCATCACGGTATTCACACAGCATTGCTTCTGACCAAGAAATTCCTTTCACTGTAAATGAATTGTGGCAATGGGCTCATGATCAGAATTCAGCAGTCTTACCATGTCTGTCATCATCCTGAAGTACATGGCTTGCTAAAACAATAGAATTGCCTTTTGGAGACTCACGCACAGCAATAGCTAGGTGGCCCCACCTTGCAGACTCAGGGTAAGGTTCTCCAGAAGGCTGCACGGGCTCTGAGACAGCACTGAGTATATGGCACAGTTTCTCTTACAGCCAGGATTCACAGGTCCAGGAATCAAGGGGAGGTAATGTGAGTGGTGCCACTTAACTACTCTACCTAGTGACCCACTGGTAAAACTACTGCTTCCTGTTTCTGCTTATGTTCTGCTGAGTTAGAAGTCTCGGTTCAACAGGAGGAGAGCTTCCACCAGGAGACATAATGATGACTCCATGGAATAGGAGTTAAGGCTGCTACCTAGCCACTTTGGGCTCCTTATGATTGAATCAGCAGGAAAGGACAGAAATTACTGTGCTGGCTTGAGTGATTAATCTTGAATACAAAGAGAAATTGAACTACTACTCCACAGTGGAGGTAAGGAAGAGTATGCTTAAAGTGCAAGAGACGCCATAGGTATCCTTTATTATTACCTTGCCCAGGATCAAGTTCAACAGGAAATTGCAACAGCCCAACCCGGTCATGGAGACTAATGGCCCAGAACCTTCAGAAAAGAAGGTCTGAATCATCCTAACAGGAAAAGAACCACAACTCACTGGGGTGCTTTCTGAGAGCAGAAAGAATTTGGAATGAGAAGCAGAAGAGGGTAGTTATAGATATTCACTATGACCGCATGACCAATTACCGAAATAAGGACTGCAATTGTCATGAGTACTTTCCCCTTATTCTGTTATGAATATCTGTGTGTGTGTGTGTGTGTGTGTATGTGTGTGTGTGTGTGTCTAGCAAACAAATTGCTATCCTCCCTCTCTTATTGCCTTATCCTGTATCCCTTAAAACTGTGTCGGCTTCACATAATAGTATTTAATCATTGCCAACTTACATCACAGAATTTGAGTTACAGGATTTAAGGACATGTGTAAAACTCATTCAAGGTCTCTCACTCTTCTTCTGGGGAGACAATGAGTGCATTTTTGGTGTACATAGGACAGTTATGCTATGTTAGGCAAAACCATGACATTATTAGCTTAATTGAAGATTAATGGTGGTGGTCTTTGGAAATGTGCATGGATGCCAAGTTAACAAGGAATGGCTTGTGATGACTAATTTTATTGTCAGTGTGACTAGGTCATGGGTGCCCAGTTTTGGTTAAACATTCATGTGGATGTGTTTGTGAGGGTCACTTTGGGTAAGACTGACATTTAAATTGATAGACTGAGTAAATCAGGTTGCCCTTCCTAATGTGGGTGGGCCTCATCCAAGCAGAAGAAGGTCTGAATAAGTAGATCTTCTCCTGAGTCAGAAAACTCTTGCTGCCTAATAGTCTTCCAACTGGGGCATCAGCTCTGCAGATTTTGGGTTTGTCAGCTTTCATAATCATGAAAGCCAATTCTTTGTCTGTCTGTCTACTTATCTATCTATCTATCTATCTATCTGTCTATCTATCTATACCCCGTTGGTCCTGTTTCTTGGAGAACTCTGACCCAAATGTGGGCATATGGAGAATAGTGGATCAGAGTGATAGCTTTGGGAGGGATAGGTGGCTGAACAGGTAGATGAGAACATTAATGAGGGGATGGGAAGGGAAAAATACAAGAGTAGGTAGTTTCCAAAATACAAGTTCTTCCTATTTCTCTGTGTGGAGCCAATTGAAAAAACACATATATAAAAATCCAGATTTGTGTGGTAGGCAACGTTAGAAGCCATATTTCCTTACAAAAGGGGTTTGCAAGAACAACTTCAGGCTATCCATTGTCCTGGACATTTGCTACAGGACTGTGTTAGCACCACTAAATTCTGGTGCTTCTGCATCTGGTAAGATCACCAAAGCCTTTGGGAGTTTGGGGGCAATCCTGGCTGGCCCCCCTCTTACCTCGTAAGATGGTGACATTGTGAAGGATTTCTCCGTGCTGTGTGTCCACAGCCTTCATCTCCTCCACAATCATGGAGAGGTTGCGGACATTGAAGTCCAGCCGGGCACTGAGCAGGCTGAAGCGCTCCCGGAGCAGGTCGGTGGTGCCCAGCATGAGCGAGACAGACTTGTTCAGGTAGTAGAGCTCCTCCGCATGGGTGTGGAAGCCCAGCGTGCAGGACAGCCGCACGTCATCCAGGTACTTGAGCATGCTGTGCACGTGGTTGTCGGTGGCATTGATGTTGGTGAAAATGGTGCTGATTTCAATCTCATGAGAAGCCATGCGTCCTTCCAGTGACTCAAACCTCTCCACTGTGCGGTTCTGGGCATAGCGGGTGTGGTACTGGAGATCATGCATGTTCTCCTCGTGGTCATCGAGGAAGGAGGAGATGTTATCTAGCTGCAGCTGTAAGCCCATCACCTGCAGCACCAAGTCGTGCATGCTCTCGGAATTCTGGCTGATGCGCTGCGAGGAGGCCCCCAGGGTGGACTGAATGTTCTTTACCATTTCTCCCGTCTTGGCAGAGGTGGTGCGCAGGCCACCGAAGAGCCGGGTGTAGTTCTGCCAGTCAGTGACCATCTTCTGGAGGGTGAGGGTCTCCTCATCCGTCTTCCGCTGGATCCCATGGATCCACTCGGCGGTCTGCCCCACAGTGAAGTTGATCTGGTGCGTGGCAGCCTTGACATCATAGCACTCCTGGGTGAGGTCCTTTAGAGAGAGGTCCAGGCTGGCTGTTGTGGCCTGCCACCCCCTCACCTGTGCCAGGAAGAGCCCCAGAGACTGGTTGACTTGGTGGATGGAGAAGGCACAACTGCCCATCTCCTGGGAGATTTGACTGCTGGTGGTGGAGAGCAGCTCATGGGCCTGAGAAGTCTGGTCCAACTGGACCTCCTGGGCAAGAAGCATCTTCTGCAGCCCCTCCAGCTCCTCCTGCAGCTTCCTGATCTCCTGCCCCAGCTGCCCAGCCTCATGGCAGAAAGAGCAGTTGTTCAGGGCTTTCAGGTCTTTAGGAGAAAGGGACAACATTTTGAATTGCTGATGGACTATGGGAGAAGGATACTTCTTTAAATTAAACATTTCAGAGCCCCAAGGATTGGCAAGTGGCTTCCTGATCCTGCCTCCTCTCCTGAGTCCTGCTGTGAAATCCTTTCCTACAAAATCTTTGCTAAACATCCTTACTATATGGTCTGAAGGGCAGGACATAAGACTTATCCTCCACCCCACTACCACATTCTCAAGAATACATCTTAATAGCTCTTCTGAGGTAACCAAGAACCTCCTATTTATATTTTAGAGTTTCTCCAAATATGTTCACATCTGATCATATCCAACCTTCTCCCTTCCCCCTGTAGGGAAGGCGGTACAGGGATTTTTGCCTTGTGACTCAAAAGGAGCTTGCCAAATCATGCTCAGCTAGTCAGTGGCAGACCCGGACTTTCTATTTGCATCAGGCCAAATTACTTTTAATCCCTTCCATTATGGCTTCTCCTATTTCACTCCTTCCTAGGACGTTCTGGTTAAAGCGGGGGTAAGAAGCATCACAAACTGAGTAAAGGACTGAGGCATCATGAGGCTTTTGGAAGGTCTTAAAACTCATTTCATTCATGAGAGTATCTGGGGACTGGAGTATTCCTGGCTTTCTTCTCTACCTGTAGCCTCTGGCTAGAGTCTGCACAGAAACCCCTGCTTGGGACCTAAGTGTCCACCAGGTAGTGGCTCCCTTTAAACAGTTGGTGCTTACTGGGGAGGGAAGCAGGGACTGCAGCTGTCCTTGTCTCATGCCAGAAAGCTGGTGAAGCCTTCCCTGCTCTGGCATCGTACATGGGAGGGCATTGGGTGTTAGATGCTTACCAAGTCCTTGAAGATTTTCCTGCATCGACATAAGCTTCTTGTTATAAATGGACTGGGCCAAGGAGATGTCTTCTGAGAGAGAGTCTACCTTCCTAAAAACTGCAGGGAAAGATGAGAAACTGGGACAGAGTCTTGGTTCAGAGAAATAAATCTCAGTATGCAGGCTGTTGAGAAAGCATTTTTATCAGCTCTCTGCAACCAAATCCCTTCACCCTTCTCCTCACATGCTCACCCAAAGTGGAAAGGGCAGATGCTTCGTGTGACCAGAGTGTGGCACATGTCTTTAAAATATACTAATACGGCTCCCTCCTGAAGTTTTAGAAATTGGACTTGAACATAAGATAGAATAGGGAAAATACAGAGAAAATATACAAGATAAAATTTTAAAAATTCTTAGTCTTCCCATCCAGAGAGTGCTGCCATCAATATCTTTGGGACTTTCTTCTAGTCATGATAAAGTTCACATCCATTCTACGTCTACACAGATATACTTTTTTTGAAAACAAAAGAAAAACTGGGATGTTTGGAGTATCTCATCCATTTTCTCTTATTTGGCTTTAGTTTGTGTCAAGGACATTTTTCCATCAAGGCCCAAACCATTTTAAAGCTATTGTTTTCCATATTGGCACCATATCTATATAAATAGTACAGTAATGACATAACAATCCCATATGATTGTCGCCTCTTCCAAGTTCATAAATAAAATCTGACATGCGCACATGAATAATTCTTGACCCTAGAACAATTCCTTTTACATGATGTTTGTGTGTATATGATTGTTCTCTTAGGATAAATTGCTAGAATTACCAGGTCAAAGGATATTCGCATGTTTGAAGTCCTCAGTACAAGTTGCCAAATTGCCCTCCAGAGAAGCTTAAAGAGCAGTTTGTACCATGGCAGCCTGAAGCCCTAGGGAGGGCATGGTGTTGGACAGGGGACACCTCAGCAGCAAGACACCTGGCTTTCTTTTTTTTTTTTTTTTGGTTTTTCTCCGGTACCAGGAACCGAACTCGCGACGACCGGGCAAGCACTTTTGCCGCTGAGCTAAATCCCCAGCCCAAAGGAAGTTTTTTTGTTGTTTTTGTTTTTTTTTTTTTTGGTTTTTCTCCGGTACCAGGTACTGAACTCACGACCTTGCGCTTGCCAGGCAGGCGCTTTGCCGCTGAGCTAAATCCCCAGCCCGACACCTGGCTTTCTGAAGCAGGTGCTGAAGGGGACTGGCAGAGACAAGAGGGCAGAGATTGGAAGGAAGGTTGGCAGGACGTTTTTCACATACTCTCTGAAGTCAAATGCAGAGGGACAGAATTAGCACCGCCCAAAGAGCTAGGTAACACCATCTTTCGACCCAGATTGATATTAATCTGTTGGATGACTCTGGCCAAATCAACTAAACTTTCCGGAGTGAATCGAATCTATCAAATGAAAATGTGGAGCTCAATGAATTCTAAGGCTCTTGGCTCCAAAACTGGACGACTTCAAATTATTTGGAATCTCTGGGCTCCAGTTAGCACTGTGTGTCTCGGAGCTGGGAAGGGATTTGCTTAATGAGGAACAGCAACATGTTGAGAGAGATGACGAATAACCACTCCGTTACACAGGTGAGTGCTCCTCAGTTTGTCATGGTTATTATTTCACTTGAGTCTCCTCTCAGTGAGAACCAGTGCGTAGATGAAGAAACATCGTAGATGACTTCGATTCTTATCCTAACCCTTCATGGAGTTCACTTCCAAGCCCACCATTCCAAGGGCTTACTCCATAGAACTCACCCTGTTCATTGAGAGGTTCACTTTGTAATTGCATAGTATTTGCTTAGCCATTTTTCTTACTCTTTGGACCTTATTTTCTTCAAGTCAAGAATGCTGGTTACTGAATGCCTTGAGTCAGGGCCAGGACCTGATACCCCTCCTAGCAAGATACTGTCTGTCAGGGAGAACACCAAGGGGAGGACCACTCCCAGGGCTGTTACTGCCTCTCCCTCCTCCCAGCTCAAACATCCAAGAGATTGGAGCACACAGACCCACGAGAGCCAGGAATTTCTTTCTTTCTTTTTTTTGGTTCCAGGAACCGAACTCAGGACCTTGTGCTTGCCAAGCAGGTGCTGTGTCACTGAGCTACATCCCTGGCCCCTAGAGTCTGGAATTTCAAAGTTTCAAGTAAGGAGCAGAATGGGATTGCAGGGAGCCATCACCACGCTCACTTTAGTCAATTTACCTTAACTGTGAGCATGCAGCAGTTGGGAGTCACCCGAACCTGGCCATATGCTGTCCCTTAGTTGCTACCACACAGACAGAAGTTGTAGCATGGAGGAGAAGCATCAGACCTCAGTTCCTGGGCCTCACCTGCAGGGCTTGGATTCCAGAAGTCTCCCTGAGACCCTGAACTTTGCATTTTAATGAATACAGGGGGTGCTGGATGCAGATGAGGGTCCAACCTCACTTTAAGAAACACACAGACCACAGGAGGGGCTTAAAAGTTACCTGACCTGGTCCGCTTGGCCCCGGATGCACACCAGAATCATCTGCAGAGCCAGGGGTGTGTGTTAGTTCCTTCACCCAGTGGGGCTCAGACATCAATAGTTTCTAAAGTCCTCAAGGGATGCTCACTTGGAACTGAAACCGAGGACCACCAGTCTCCTCCTATTGTCTCACTTTACCTGCGGGGGTCAGGAGCCCTGGTTGGGGGTGGCCTCGCTCAAGGCCACATGGCTCATTCTTGCCCAGAAATTTGGAGCCAGTCTTCCCAGTGTGGATGAGCTGTTAAGATTTCTAGTGGGAAGATGCCAGTTCCAGGTTCTGGGTACAGGCAGTTTTGGGGCGGAGTCCTGGGCAGACACCCCTGGGCTGGGAGAGCCTTGGACTCACCCAGAGAGGCCAGCACGGCCACAGCCACCAGGAGCAGAGCCAGGAAGAGGTACAGAATCCGCACTGACGTGTGCAGAGACAGGTTCTTCTGGCAGCGGCTGCAGCGGGGTCCTGGCTGGCCTGTTGGGGGCAGGAGGAGGGCAGTTGTTTAGGCCAGAGGGCAAGGCTGGAGCTGAGAGGCCAGGGTCATCACCAGATTCATCCTGGGAGTTTTCATCCCTCATTCCCTACCCATCCCACTGCCTTTCTCAAGGTTTTAAAGCTTCCTAGAAGGGAGGTGACAACACCTAGCTGGGTGTGGTGGTGCACACCTGTGATCCCAGCATTTTGGGAGGCTGAGACAGGAGGACTGCAAGCCAACCCTGGGCAATTTAGCAACTTACATAGACCCTGTTTCAAAATAAAAAATAAAAAGATTTGGGGATGTAATTCAGTGGGAAGGCCCGGGTTTCAATCCTCAGCACTGCAAAAACAAAAACAGAAACAAAAACAAAAGAATCAAAAAAACCTCTCTGCTCTCATCACCATGGTCATTCCTACCATTTTTGTCCCATGGGGGTGAGGAAATCTCTCTTCTCTGCAGTGTTCATTGATGACCTGCAACATGGCAGCCTCACTGGGTGACCAGCTTGTTCTGGTTCACCCAGAACTTTCTAGACTTTAGCACCAAAACTCTCCTGTCCTGGGAACTTCTCAGTAGGGGCAAAGCATGTTGTTTGCAGAGATTCAGTGTTAAAGCTAAAAGTCCTGCACCTGGAGGAACCCCCTTCAGCTAAACTGGAAGTTGGTCATCAGTCCCCAAACTGGGCAGGTAACTACTTTCTTGGAATCCAGGCACATGGTTACAGTCCAGCAGTCAGGCCACCGGTATGGAGAGAGGAGAGAGCCGGTATTCCTGGAAACTCTGGCAGGTGACCAATGGCCAACGGGAAGGCAGTAGTGGCCCTGGCTGCGAAATTCCTTATGTGAACTCGACCTCAGCTGCACAGAAGGAGCACCAGAAACGACGAAAAACCCTGGTGCCTGGCTCACCCTCCAGGCCAAATAAGGAGCAGCTAAAAAAGACAGGGCCCAGGCAAAGACAGCCTGGTTGGGGGAGAGGGCAGAGGTCCCTCTGATTGCCCTGCAGACAGGTGGCACTTCTGTCACAGTTCGGCATGAGCCATACTGCACTGCCCAGGGCCATACATCTCTGTCCTTCCCTCTCCAGGAGCTGCCAGGAAATAAGAGCCTAGAGTCTGAAGCCACATGGTGAGGCAAGTCTCTACCCAGCCTGGAGATGGGCAGGGAGCTCTCAGCTCAGAAAGGAGGCAGGGGTGGCCTCGGGGTCCTCACCTTTCTGCGTGCCTGGGAAGGACGGCATGTCCTCGTCTTCACCAGCCAGCTCCTCTTCGGTAACGCACAGTGCATCCCCGTCACCGCCAGCCGACCTCACTGCGATGGAGCCAGTGCCGTCAGCCCCGGGCTGGACCCTGAGCCACATCCGACCCCTCCAGCTGACCCACCAGTGTGAGTCCCCACACCCCATGCCCACCGTGTCCCAGGTCTAAACCAGCCCGTCTGAGCTCCAGATGTTCAAGCTGAGTAAAGGGGGGACAGACATGAGACTTAGGGATGTCCCACTCCTCTGCTCTCATCTCCTCATCCCCAGCATGGAAAGACACAGGCCAGCTCTGCGAACTGCTCTCTCTGCATCTCTCTCAGGCCCCTGAAAGTCGGGTAAGGGAAATGACTGCTCTGGCTCAGGGTCCTCTCATGCCCGGACACAGTAACAGAAGCAGAACTCCACCAGGGCTGAGGAGGAATTGGGTCCAGCATGGTCCCCCCAAGGCTCTGCATCCAGCTGGGGGGAGGTGTGAAGAGGAGGAAGTAGTTGGGATATGAGGTGGGCACACAGCCCCGTCATACACACCTCACTCCAGACCCAACAGTGTCCAAGGGACCACGGGAGGAGGCCAGGGAGGTGCTTCTTCCCCGGGGTCATGCGGTCCCTAAGTGAGAAGATTAGTCTCCTTCCCAGACCCCTGGTACTTCCCCCTCCTGGTAAGGCCTGGCCTCTTAGAAACAATGGGAAGAAAAATACCTAAGACAGGGCAGAATAAGCCAAATCCCCAAACAGTTGCTTGAGAAATGAGCCCTGACCTCCTCTGACCTGGGCTCTTGTTCTGGGAAGTGGGGATGAAAGCTGATGATGAAACGTCCATCGCTTGGGAGATATCTATAGAGGGCATTTGTCAAACTATGCCTCTGAATCTAGGGGTAGTAAAAGATTAATATATTTAACTACATGGCAGTAAAATAAAAACATTTTTTGCGTGGAATAAAACCCACCATATGCACAGTGAAAAATCAAATGACAAAGTGGAAAAAGAAATACAACATATACCAGAGACAAAACTACTATACCAAATCTATAAAGAGCTTTCAAAAGTCAAAGAAATAAAGGACCAAAAATGCTGTAGAAAAGTTGGCCGAAGATCTGTACACTTTATGAAGCGATATATAAGAGGACCCTTAACAAGTGAAAAGATGTTCAACTTTTCTGGTACCATCAGTGCAATCTGAAGCCACATTATGATGACATTGTCACTCATCGGTATGGCAACAAGCAGATGCCTGATAAACATGTTAGAAACACAACACAGCTGTCGAGGTGCTTGTAAGCTGGGGTAGGGTCTGTAAACTAGCCATGGCTTTTGGAGGTGAACTGGAAGCATGCATTTACCCTTCGGACCCTACAACTGTTCTTCTATGAATTTATCCAGAATATACACCTCTAAAACCCTCTGTCCCCCAAAATATGACCCAGCTAAAAATAATCAGCCCTGAAAACTACGGATCAAAACACCAGCTACAATCAGCCAACCTTTGCCTTACTCGCCTTACAGAACAGACACAGAGCAAGAGAATAGCAATGGCAGCGACTACTAGTGGTTCATCCATGGACGAGTTTATAGCTAAATGTGATTTTGGAAGGGGAAGCCTGGTGGGAGACGCTGAGTCACTGGGAACATGGCATAGATGGGTCTATCTCCTTCCCACCTCCCTGATCTCTCTCCCTCAGCTTTCTGCTGCCATGCCATAAGCAAGCCTCCTCTGCGATGTCCATCTGCCATGCCATCCTGCCTTGGAGCCAGCCTACTATGGACTAAAATCTCTACAGACTGTGAGCCCAAATAAACCTTTCTTCTTTTAAGTTTTGGGTGTTGCATATTGTGCCCTAGCAACAGGAAAGTAACTAAGATAGAATGGGGAAGGTAGAAGATGGACCTGGAACATTTTGTTGTTCCAGAAACCAAGGAAGTGCTAAAATAAAAACAAAAGGAAGGAAAGAAGGAAGAGGAAAAATGAACTATCACAAGAAACACAAAAACTAGCTGAAGATGGCTCCACTGGCCAAATCTGAGACTTTTTCAGTGCTAAAATACCTAAGTATGTGTTCAGATTTAGCTCTAAAATCCTCCAAAGTCTCATGTGTTCAGAGATGGGACTTTCAGATTGGATCATGATCACTAACCTCATCGATGAATTAATCAATTGATAATCCATTTCATAGTTGCAAAGGCTATTATGAGATGAGACCTAACTGGAGGAAGTAGGTCAGTGGGGTGTACACCTGAAGGGTGTATCTTGTCCCTAGCCCTCTCTTCTCTCTCTGATTCCTGGTTGCTGCAACGTGAGCAGCTTTCTTCCACCATGATGTTTCTACTTCAGAGCCAGATAACCATGGACCAAACCCTCTGAAACTGTGAGCTGAAGTAAACCTTTTTTCTTTTAAATTGTGTTTGTCAGATATTTTGTCTCAGTAATGAAAAGGCGACTAACACAGTATAATAACACAATTATAACTCCTAAAGTAGGAATTCATCAACCCATACTCACAGAGACAGACAGATAGGGAGAAGGGACAGCTCTTTCTTATAGTAGCACTGGAGTTATAGTAGCACTGGAGTCAGCATGTTATAATCATGGGAAAGACTAGGACAGGCAAGAATCATTAGTAGGTATTGTATTTAAAGGTCATTAAGAATCATTTTGATGAAGACACTGATTCCTTGTTAGTTGCAAGGGAGGGAGGAAAACTCAGTGCTTATCCACTGGGGAGATCGGAAAGCACCTTGACTAGGTGAGCCAAAGTAACATCACCCAGGATGGACTTGTGGGCATCATGGGAAGAGGTCACCCTCACCTGTTTGATCAACCAACAATGCATAAGGACACTGAGGAAAATATGAGATCATTAACGTCCTATTTTTGAAAAGTCAGCTAGTCAAAACTGTCAGAGTCATAAAACACAAAAAAGGGGAATAGACACGATAGGCAAATGCAATACCACAAACTGGACCATGTGTTGGAAGGAGAAGGAAATCCTTAGGGTACTCAGTCAACCAACAGAATTGGAGTGTGAACAGTTGATTAGACAAAGTATCAAAATAAATTCATGAAATTTTTAACTATTCTCTGATTATATTCTATTCTTAGGAAATACATGGTTTAGAGATAAAGGATCATAATAGGCAATATTTATAGTTATGCTTATAAGCTTTAGAAAAAATTGTATACCTATGTATGTGCATATGCATATATGTGTGTGTATGATAACAGTGCACACACAGTGTGTATAATCTTGCAGTGAAAATCTTTATACATGAAATGTTATATACACATGACTTTCTTAAGACAATTCCTTAACAATGAATATAGTAAATTTGATCTTAGGAACATCTTAATCTTCTGTTTAGTTAACAAGTTACCAGCAAGAAAAGGCATATAAATTACACTACAACCCACACAGCACATAAATATACACAGATCTACTAGTCTACCCCAATGAGTATTAACATAAAAGTAAATACATTTTTAAGGTTAACTCAAGGGGTCTCCATATTTTATCCTGTACACTTAAAAATCATGGAAGGGCTGAGGGTGTTGTTCTGTGGTAGAGCATGTGCTTAGCATGCAGGAGGCCCTGGGTTCAATCTCCAGCACCAAAGCTAAACCAAACCACGCAACAGCAATGAAACAAGATTAGTGAGACTCCGGCCTCTGCCTGGAGTCTTTGGAGGTAGCAGCTTTCCCGGGAGGCTGTCTGGAAGATGGACCTTTTCTCCTATCCTCTTGGGGCTGGGGATTTAGTTCAGCGGCACAGCGCCTGCCCAGCAAGCTCAAGGTCGTGAGTTCGATCCCTGGTACAAAAAAAAAAAAAATCTCCTAGCCTCTAGCTCTACCCTGCCCCCATTTTCCCCAAGAGCAGAGTAGCTAGGATGAGAGTCCAAATCTTTCCCAATAGAGATGGCGAGGCATTGCACAATCTAGGGGAGGGCTGTGACAAACCAAAAGGGACTGGAGCCGTCCCAGTGTGAGACGTGTGAGAGCAGCCTGGGCGGGCCACCTTCCAGTGTCCTCCTGGTACCACTGGTGGCCTTGACTCGCCTCTCCCCATCAGCTCATGCACCCAAGACTCAATGTTCCTGATCCCAGTCTCCATATTTATTTCCCCATGTAGTTTCAACTCCTAATTTAATTATACTCTGTGCTTGTTTTATTTGGTCATTGGGAAGGCTCCTTATTTTCTTTCAACATAAGCAATGCATTTAGCAGTGTGTCTGCCATTTATCTGACGCCTAAATTTTACAGCCAAAGAATATTTCTAGGTTGATGATGCTAGAAACAGAAGCACTAAGTTTGCTTCTCTCTGTTTCCATTTTTTGTTTTGTTTTTTGTTTTTTGTTTTTCTCCGGTACCGGGAACCGAACTCACAACCTTGCACTTGCCAGGCAGGCGCTTTGCCGCTGAGCTAAATCCCCAGCCCCTCTGTTTCCATTTTTAAAAAATGTAACATTTTTAAAAAATGTAATGTAAAATTTTTTAAAAATGTAAAAACAGTACTGGGTCTTGCCCCACTGTTGCCTTCACAACAACTCTATAAACTTCACAGCTCGAAAGTATCCCCTTTGTGGACAAAAACACTGAGGTTCAAAGAAGTTAGAAAGGTTTTTGACAGCACACAGAATGAAAGTGGGGAAGCCAAGAAGAGAACTCAGAAACCTTTCCCAGCACACCTACTGCGACTGGAGGTAGGAGCAGACATTCTACAAAGTACTGAGAACTCCCGATTCTGCACGCACAAGGTGAGGCAGTAAAAAGGAGGAGGGAAAGGTCTGTGACCAAGTGTCCGGAGCCCCAAGGGCACTGACAATAACCAGTGATCACCTTGCGCTGCGTCCTAGGACTCTTTAGCACCCGCAGCCTCATTCCCATATGCTGCACTGTGACCGCTATGATCAACCCGGAAGCAAGATGCAGAGTCAGCAAGAACACTTTGGGGTAAGGGCCACCCTGAACAGACCCTGTGGGGAAGCAACAGAGAGAGATGCCAGATTAAAGATGTACTGTCACTGCTGTGAATGCCTTCCGCTCAGCCTCCAGGTCAC